TAAGAAGAAGAACTTGTGAAACCAGCGAACGATTGCGCAGCTATGAGCCTCCCTGTAAAGTCTGACATGTTTGTTTTTCATTCCTGCTCTGCTTTCTTTACAGTATGATATGATTAATCACCATGGGAGTCAAGAGATTTTTCCTTTTTTGTACCTTTTTGTCTCGTGAACTATTTTGTTGACTCGGCAAACCATCAAGAAAAGCGCGAAGTGGAGGAAACAGGAAGTTCATTTACAGTGCCAGTTCCGATCCGATGCACGTGTCAAGTCACTTTTCGGTGCTTTGCAGCGTGAAGCGAATGTTGCGCCCGATAGAGAAACTGATATTTGAAATTTGTCACAGGCACAGCGATTTGAAAAACACTCTACATCTGTTGAACTTTTCATATTTTGGAACATTGCAACCTCAAGTCTCAGCGTATTTTATTAGAATGTGATGTGAAAAAAAAAACTTTTTTATTTAATTTGAAAGACAGAAAGCAGAGAAGATTGTGATTTTTATTCAGCTCTCTTTCCTCTAATAGTAATAAATTTTAAAAAAAATAAATGCCGACATGCCTGACTCTACACATTTATATGCAAAACTTGTTGGCAAATGCATTGTGGAAAAAATAACCCTGTACTTCATCTTGATTACACGATCCTCCACTCAGCTCCTTCAGACTAGCCAGCAACAATTAGCAAACACCTGATGCAGATGCACAGCTCAGCTCATTATAGGAACTTCTCAGCGCAACGCTGGTAAAATCATTGTTAAAAGATTAAGAGGAGCCATGTTGTGATGACTTCCTGAAGGCAGAGATTCAGAAGGAGCAGGAGCTTCTTAAAGAGACAGAGGCCCAATTTCATGGTATCAAATTACAAAGTCAAATTTATTTTAAGTCATTTTTATAACAATTGAAGGTAACAAACCCACTTGATTGTGGTAAAAATTGATACTATGTGGCTGGAAAGCATAAAACACAGCCCCTTTAACAGACACTCTCCATAAAATCTGTCTGAGCTCTTCTCCAAAACAAAAAGACATAAATTTCCACCTCTGCATGGTAGAGATATTTAAATATATCCAGTCTGGAGCTATATGTCAAGTGTTTTTATAAGCCTGAGGCCGGACAGAAAAAAATGCATCGCCACGTCGGAGCAGCAGATCCCTATAAACTGCTGTACTTTTGAGCTCTGCATGACGGTCAGGGCATTCTGACCTCAACCACAGCTAACTGGTGCCATGTCTCCAGTGAGACCAGAGCAAACGGGGCTGGAGCAAGCCGACGGCAGCGGTGACCTGCGTCTGTTTGTGCGGTCCTCACTGAGATGCCTGGGCAAACCCATCAAGAGCGCTCTCTTCTGCTGTTTCTGGTTCCGTAGTGCCGGATATTTGCTTAAAGCAGTGAGACGGCTTGCAGCAGAAGAAAAACGCATGAAAAGGGAAGTATGGTTGGGTGTGTGTGTGTGTGTGTGTGTGTGGGTGTGTGTGTGTGTGCCTGAGAGAAAGACAGAAACAAATGACAGCCTGTCAGATGTAAGCGACAGATAAAAAGAAAAGAGAGGGAAGTAGAAACACATGTTAGAAGGTAGAAATGTCAGATAGTTTATTTGCATGCCTTTGCCATTATGGCCTCCGACCTCCATGTCTGCTCTGAGGCTTGTTTACGGGGCGCCTGCAGGTACAGTTTGGAGATAAACGCCATGTCTGACAGACCTTAATGACTCTCTATGAGTTTCTAACAAGACCAATTTGGGGGAATGAAGTTCCCAAAGTGAATTAATGTGCTGGTTTTGCAGCTTAAAGGAGCACTTAAGGTTAAGTTTTACTGCACACAAAATGACCTGGGATGGAGAAAAGTCAGACGGAGAGCTGAAATGAGGGGAGAGGAATTTGGAACGGAGAGTAGAAAGTGAGAACCAGTCAATTAAGTTGTTAAAAAAATCAGTGAATTACAAGTTGTATTCTCTTAAATGTAGCCTAGAAATGCTCTCCAAAGGAAATAGGAAACTTTTTTTTCATATTCCTGAGCTTGTTGGAGTGTAAATAAATCCTTAGAGAGGAGGAAGCTCACATGATACTTTCTAAAGGCTAAAGTTTGTGTTTTGTAATGCTATCATGTAACTATGTTAACTTCAATTGCTACATAAATGTTGTGCAGATAAACTATTACTAAAAAAATTTGAAATTGGCCTCTGTCTCTTTAAAATCTCCAGATTTTTCTGAAACTACACCTTCAGGAATTCATCACAAAAGCACTCCTCTGTTAATTTGTTAGCAATGTTTTTACCAGTGTTTCAATTAGAAGTAGCTCCTATATTGAACTCAGCTGATGCCCAGTTCCACCAGGTGTTTGTTAATTGCTGCTGGCTAGTCTGAAGGAGTGGAGGAGTTGCAGGAGAGGGCTGCTCTGTAAGGCTGCAGCTTCGACCTTGAATAGCGTCCAGGTTTCCCTAGATTGGATCCTCCAGATCAGCTGCGACTCATCAGTCTGACCTCGCTTGGTCAACACCGCTGTAAACTCCTGATTTCTCTGACAGACTGAAGATTGAACGTTCCGATGCTTTCAAGTCCTCACAGTTGGAAAGATATTTCCGGCAGACAGTCAGCCCATCAGCCAGATGGACTGATGAGGTGATTGATGCAGCACATGTCCGCTTAGCTTCAGAGCTTCCCAGCACTCTGCGGATGGATCTATTTTTTCAGTCGGGTCATGGTGACCTGAGATCCGCTACTGCAGCTGGAGCAAGAAGATCAGGTTAAAAGACGACTACATTTTTTGCACTTATGTATTTTTTTTAGTTACAATCAGCACAGATGCTTTTTGTTGCCCCCAAATCTCAATGATCAATAATTGATTATCTTTCGGTGCATTTCTCCCTATTTCCTGGTGGAAAATTAAGGCTCATGATGACAAAGTGGGATTAAAATGGGGAAGAAAATTACATTAGGCTACAAAGAATTAAATGAAACAGTGGGTATTGTATGGAACTAGCATTCATACAAGATAATTCATCCTGTAAAATCCAATACACAACTCATATCATAACATGCAGTTTGTTTGAATAAAACTTGCTGTTTCCACATTCTGTACTTGTTTGATGCAAAGCCCTAAATACATCAAAATATGCTGACTTTACAAAGAGAACTGACCCAAATACAGAGGTAGATATAACTGGTCAGATGTTTGGATCGAGAGTTTTTCTTGATGCAGATCCAGATTCTTTTAAGATGTGATGCCACTACTGAATCTCAGTTTGATACCTGCAGTTTTTACAACACTGACTCAAACACTACATACAATTAGTATAACAAAAGCTATCAAAATAAATGTGATATATATGATAAACAGTTCGGCCACTCAAAAGTGTGAATTGCTTTGAATGACCAATTATCTTCCTCTTGTCTCTATTTCTCTCTTTATTCCATCATGTGAGAACGGTTGTTGGCTGTGTGTGAAGCAGCCGATGCAACTATCACTCTGTAATAATTGATTTTATGGTACATTTCTTTCATGACCGTAATTTAATCAATTATTGCATTTCAGTGGCTCCTTGATTGTCTCTGCCGTGACGACAGACTTTCCTCCAAACTGCAAATGTTTGTCATAATGTCGACATAAGTTTAAATTCGGGTAAAAATTGGGTAGAAAACAGTTTGCAGTTGAATATCTTCTTACTTCTCAGATTTTTGGACATCTTACTGTACCTGAAATTGCTACTTTTGATTTCACACCATAATCGTTTCACTTCACACTAAACAGGGCTGAGATCACAATTTGTCAGAGATTATAGTTGTTATGTTTACTGATTGGAGGACAATTTAATTATTGAGTTTCCAGCTGGAAATGAGCAGATTCAAGTAGAAAAAGTTATTATTTTTTAGTGCATCTCTGCTTCGGGACTTATTATACAATCAATGGAGTTCTTGCAACTTCTCCTTTACCAATAATATACTTAAAGTGATAGGGACATCTCTAAAACAACAAAAAAAAGCTGATCAGTCAAAGGCCCTGCAAGAGGATTTAAAAGCTGTTGCATCACAATTTAAAGATCGAGCGGGTTGCATCTCCGGCTTGTAAATTCCAGCACCCTGAGACGTTAATCCAACTCTGGCCGCGTCTTGGACAGGTCACGTGTTTGGAGCTTAGCACCGCTTTTTTTTTTTTTTTCATTTCTCCAGGAAAAACATTGACCAGGAATAACACAAACAGCAGGGCCTTCGAAATGAATAGACAGAAAAATTCAAAACATACATCAGGAGAAATGAGTCCTTTTAGGTAACAAACTCAAAAGGTGCTGCATCAAGTAACTTTTGTTCTCACTGGTTGAATAAGCCTAATTGTAAACTATGTAACATTATGAAATCTGGAAAGAGACCCCAACTTAAGCCTTTTACACTGTCAGGTCTGTTTTACAGTGAAAAAGCATCAATCAGACCAAAGTTTCCTAATGTTTTTAAGTTTGCCTGAATGCTCCTTGCCTTCGCCCAGATAAACCACTGACTGCTCTCTCCTTTTCTCTCTCTGGTCTTTAGCCTTCCTAAATGTGAACTAAATGAAAACAGAGGCCCCCCGCCGCCACCTGGAAAACTCTGAGGGACTAAGTGGATTGAGGAAGGCAGCCACCGATCGAGGGAGTCGGGGCAGGGAGGGAAGACACACAGAGAGGATTAGCAGCTAATCCAGGCCAGCGAACAATCCTGGGGGGAGTTTTTGCCGTTCTTCCAGGACGATGCAGACAAAACAGTTCCTGGATTTAAGCGCTTTACGACGGCGCGTCCGAATTCTTCTGTGACGGTTTTGATTTGGTGCGGACTTGGGTCTTTGGTGCAGAGGAAGCGGTGGACTGAGAAGAGAATCGACGGGATGTCCTGACGGACTGCATGGTGCCACACACATGGATAAACCTTTTCAGCAGGTGATTATGGACCCCCGCCTTTACACCTTGGTCTGACAGAAAGACACTGAAGGTCTTGCTGGACTTTGTGATCAGGCCTCACTTACAGTAAGGAACTATTTATTTCTTTGTTTGTAGGACATTTCAAGCATGTTGTAATCGTGCAAGGAAAGAAATCAACTTAAAAGTGTTTTTAAGTTAAGAGTAAGGAGACAAAACTGTGCTGCACTTTGTAAGATTCTTTACATGTTCTCTTAAGAGTTGCTTAACTTTCAGCAGGAAAGCCGGCCTGTCTCCTGAAAGAAGAAGTTAACCACAAGAAACTTTCGTAGGTTTGGGTCAAAGGGCCGCGCACGTTGTAGCTTTGTACAGTTTCCTGGGGAGGTGATCCTCTTAAGGCGGCGAGCTCCAACTGAGATCAGTTCAGTTCCCGATGCCTACAAAATATAGAATTAAGAGTAAACGCAAGTCTTTTTTTATTGCCTTCATCACACAGCAAGCTTTCGGTGTATGTACACATGCGGTTGGATTGTGTATGTCTGGGCAGCCATCCACTGAACCAAATATACCCGGTGCCCTGACGGACCACAACTCTCCAACCGCACGGACTGTGGTAACCAGAGGAGACCCAGCGCGGCCTTGTAATTTCTCCTCTTTGTTATGCTGTCGTGACTGAAAGCTGCTGCTGAGCAGGAGAAAAGGGAGTTGGGTTGTTTGGGAAAGATGTGCAGGAAAGAGAGAAAAGCATATAAGCAGACAGAGTGGCTGTACTGGCATCCCACGGCGCGGATCATAAAGAGGAGCAGCGGGAAGTGAATGTATGAAGAATGGATTTAATATTTGAACAGCTGAACATTTATGCTTTCTGTCCTTGACTGATTTGGTTTCTTTCTCTCTGGTTTTACAGTGGAGCCAAAAAGTTTCTAAACTTGACTGACATGAACTCAAACTCAAGACTTCATCAGTCATTTTAAAAGGGATATCACGCAAACTTTTTCTTCCACCATGAGTCTGGGAAAGCTGCCAGGAATCAAAGGCCTGGTGTCTGGCTCTCAGGGGAAACGTCGCTTCAAGAGCGACCTCTCGGTGGACATGATCAGTCCCCCGCTCGGGGACTTCCGACACACCATGCACGTGGGCCGCGGCGGCGACGTGTTCGGCGACACGTCCTTCCTCAGCAACTACGGCGGCATCCGGGAGCCGGGGAGCCCGGACTCGGCGAGCAGCTCCAAGTCCACCGGCTTCTTCACGCGCACCTTCCGCCACGTGCGGAGGACGTCAGTGCTGCGGCCCCGGGGCGGCTCCCGGGACCTGTCGTCCCCGCCTCCGGACATCTCACCCATCATTAAAAACGCCATCTCCCTGCCTCAGCTGAACATAGACTCTGTGAACGGATGCCTGCAGAGGGCGCTGTTCCCCAACTCCATGGGCTCAGCGGATGACTCCTTCTGCACATATGGTGAGATAAAACAGATAATCCGGGATTGGTGTTAAGGATCTTACAGAGGGGGATTATCTTCATTAAAAGTGAGCAGAGATACTTTAAAGGTTGAGATCATACTCAAACATGATAGTTTTAGTAGGCGGGGAAGCATGATCCTCACTGTCGCGGATTATTTCATAACAAATAAATCAAGATTAATGAAATGGGTCGTCACAGGCAGGTGAAAGAAAGCGATCGGTCAGATTATGAACACTGCCAGAGCAAGTCAGGCCAAACCTTTTACGGTCTTAAGTTGGCATCAACTTCCAGGACTTTTGACATTTTCTTCAGCAGTGATTACAACCTGCAGGTGTTAGTTGTTAAAGACAGTGAAAATAATAATGAACAACTGATTCTCTGAAAGGCAGCAGCGCTTCTTGTGAAAGCAACTGATAAGACATTGTGCATAAAAATGTACAAGAAAAACACAGAGATGCTCAAACGACATACAGCTTACAAAAGTATTCACACCACTTGAACGTTTTCACTGAATCTTTGCTCAGTTCGGTTGGAAGAAGGCAATGTTTGAATAGCAGTTTTCAAGTCTTGTCACCGATTATCAGTCGGATTTAGGTCTGAACTTTGGCTAGGCCAATCTAACACATGGCTCTCGTTAGGGTCGGTGTGCAGCTGGAAGGTTTTCTTCCAGCATTTTGTTATATTTAGCTCCATCCATTTCCAATGAAGCAGCACGGACCTGCTAATGAAAAGCTGACCCTCAGTATAACCCACTTCCAAATTTCAATATCAGAATAGTGTGTTCAGGGAGAGGTTCGGTTTCAGTGTTTTTCATGTAGTTCACATGGTTCTGTTTTGGTTTCATGTCACCACATCACCTTCCTCTACATGTTTTCTTTATCTGCTGCATGGCTGTCAATGAATTAATATTTACCATGGAGCTCTTTGCTGATTCTCTGACTAATTTTCTCTTCCCCTACCTGGACGTTTAGGTGGACGGCCATGTCTCAAAAAGTTAGAATTTGTGGATTAAGTCATGCTTTGTGAACACTTGGGATGCTGTTTTGAACTTTTCCAAATTGCAAGCCACACTTTTAAGCTTTCTATTCATATATTGCTTTGTATTTTCCTCTTACTGCATAAATAAGTGTTTTTTGAATCAGTTTGTAGCTGATAGTCTGTAGAAGTCATGGGAGAAAATGTGAAAAAGCCAAAGAGCTATGAATACTTTTTCAAAGTACTGAACAAATGAGAGTGTAAGAGTCATTTAACACAACTCATCACCACCTTGATGCAAACAGAACTATAAAAGTCAGCAAACACAAACACCTCCTCCGTTTTGTTTTACATCTTTCCCCCACATTTCTCCAAGACAACCAGCAAACATCCCAGCTTCTTCTGACTCATCTGGATTCACCTTGGCAACACCTGCACACGCTCAGACCGACAAACACAAACACCGTTCTGCTGAGCCCAGAGAACCTCTCCGGGTATTTCCTGCCATCTCTCGTGTTTGTGTGCGTGGGCCTGAGAAAATGAGCACAAACCCAACATTTGTTGCATCTGCTCTCCAATCAGAGCCTGTCAGCCAGCTGTGTGTAGGGAATGGAAATCCCCTTCGTCCCCTTTCCAGGTTTCTTATCCAACTCAAAAGGAATTTGCCCAATCGGACGGACAGAGAGGGGCAGAGATCTTGGGGATAATTGTGGGTTTTTTAAATTTATTTATTATGTTTTATAATTACTGGGTTTCACTTACGATCACGTTTACCTCGAACTGTTCATATGTAACATTATTATTTGATGGCATTTATGTGAATTTGATAATCTGAGATTTCCTTCATACAGTTATTGTTTTCCTACTCTCTTGAAGGAGTTTGATATCTATCTGAAATGTTTATTATTTATGACCAGACAGTTGTGATGTTGAAACCTGCGAGTTTAGCCCCGTCAGGATGACACAGTGAGAAACCTTTAACCTCTTGGTTTATACCGCCACCTTCTGGTCAGACAGCTGCAGAAACCCAAACAGTTTCTCTTTCTATTTTATGGCATCCACAGCTTACTCTGTAAAGAGTAAGCTGTTCTTAATGGTAATGGATGCCACTTTTACTTATTCATTTCTGGGTCAAATAAGAGGCAATAATGCCTTACATATTTCTGTTTATAGCTACAGACTACCAATCAGAGCTCCACAACGCAAAACATGAAACTCACTACTATCCAGCACTAACAGGAAGTCAGATATGGCTCTCCACCCAGCTTGCATAAACTTAAACTTGAAACTCTTCCAGCCAGAGGAGGCGATCTACTAAACCTGCAGCCCCACAATGAACTGAATGAAGCCTTTAGTGTCAAAGGTTGCTTTGAAGATTGTATGTTTGCAAGAGCAGTATAATAATGTACACCTTAGTAGAGGTGGCGTTTGATGCCTCCTTATTAAAAGAGGTTTCATTTAACAGGATATTTACTACTAATGTAATAAAAATACATTAAATGTAGTGTAATTTTTAATTTCAGTATTCAGTCAATCTTCTTGTAGGCTTGTGAATGTGCTGGGTTGACCTCCATGTTTAGTGAATCTTTATAAGGTGTCCCAAAAATTTTAACAGGATTAAAAAAAAAAAAAACACGTAGTTTAGAAATAATAATGGGTTAATTATTAGTATTCAGTCTTATTTAAAGCAGGAGTAATGTACTTTGTTTCTTGACTAAAATGCAGAATATGTTCAGTAATTATTGTCTTTAGAATTAAACAGAGATTTTTAAATTCACAGACTTATCACAAAAAGAATATTTATCTACTCTACTTAAAAAAGCAAACAATGGAGGAAAAAAACTAAACTGTAGAAATATAATCTCTTCTTTAATGAAAGTTTGGACAAACTGATCATAAGGAAATAAGATAATCAAGTCTGGAAATTTTCTACAACGCTTGTGGGAGGAATAATCATGACTAAGTTATAAAAGGTTATCTTGAAACTCTTCTATTATGGGATTGAACCAATTTGTACTGACTGAAGACAAATACCAAAGATGTACAGGAGGCTAAAGGGCAACACGCCCCATTAGACGCTACTAAACAATTTACAAAAATGATTGTCTTCTATCTATTTCAGCACCTACAATTTAATTTTTTTTAAAGACGCCAACTGGTGTGTTTATTCATGTCGCCCCACAGAGACACCAAGTTATTTGTCTTAAATTAATGCCATCCATCATATGTGACAGCCTAAGTTGTCTCAGATCCAAAGACTTGAACATGTTTTAGGTCTTATATAAAAAGACAGATGTGAAGGTAAATTGGCCCAAACACTAAACCCTGTGGTTTTCAATAATGGACTCATGTTGCATGAAGAAGAGTTACCATAGCAAACTGGAACCAGTCAGAGAAATATGATTTAAACTGTCACTATTTAACATGTTTTATTTAAACTGAGTTTGTATTGAAAAATAAATCCCTTAATCTAAATAAAAGCTTAAACCAGCATTTGCTTTCGTTTTCTCTTTCCAGGTGTCCAGTCTGGATTCCTGACTCTGCCTCGAGTCTCTCGACTTGAAAGACAGATTCAAGATGGTGGCGTGTGGAGAACGTCTCCAGCAGACAACGGCTGCGGCGCGTTGACTCGCTCTGACTCTCTGGCCTCCTTCACCGTCGACCTCGGACCTTCTCTAATGACTGAGGTGTTGGCTTTGATTGACAACCCCAGCTCTCTACAGGTATCCAATCACAGCCAGGCAGCAGGTGAGGAAGAGGAGGACGAGGATAGAGGTGACACCAGCTCTCTGACAGAGACACCCGTTCAGACCCCGACAGCCAGTTCCCCCAACCCGTCCCAGTGCAGCGCGTCTTTCAGGTCCAAAGCGAACGGGAGAGTTATCTCTCCCTGGAGGGAGCGTCAGGAGGACCGGGGGTCTGTGAGGACGCCTGATGTCACTTCCTGTTCTTCTCACAAGGAGGAATCGGCCATCGAGGCAGAGAGGTTCCAGAGGGCGGCGGACGTCCTGGCGAGACATTACGGTGGAGGATCCTTCACCAGAGGAACGAGGACGAGTCAAAAAACACCACATGGTTTATCTGAGGAGGAGGAGGAGATCAAAGTGTAGACATTAAGAACAACAATCTAAACATCTGGATTCATCCACAGTCAGAAATGAGAGACTGTTCATCTCTTCACTTTAACATTCCTTATTAGTCTTTAACTTTTGCCCATCTGGTTTTCTTTCACTGTAATTGTGATGAATCTTTTAACACTATGAAAGTACAACAGTCAGAAAACACTTTTGATTTTAAGTGTTTGTAAGTGGTTTGATAAACATCTATGAGATCAATGTTTCATGCTGATATCTACACTTTATGAATAACACTTTTGTACATTTATCCAGTCATAACAACCATACTTTGTTTTAGCTTCTTCTAAAGTGTATATTTAGGAAATTTGGACATTTCATGATTTACTTCACACATTTAATAATCTAATTTGTAAACAAAGCTGTTTATTGTAATATTTTATTGGTTTACCATTGAATAAATAAAAATGTATTTCTCTACTCAGCTTGAAAACATTAATATTTCAGTTTTGTTGAGATGATGTCTGAAGTAAAGAAAGCTCCCAGGACAATACACGTCCCATACATCTGTATGTATGGTAAGACATGCTATATACAGGAAATATATACATGAAATATTGTGTTTTGTTTTTATTATTGTGGCAAACTAACCTTAAGTTTTACTTAAACTAAAATTTCACTTAAGTTTAAGATTTAATTTGTAAAAATGATCCTTTTGCATTTTAAGGTAACTTTTTTATGTTTTCAAGTAGCTTACTTTTCTCAGAGTGAAAAACAATCTTCACTTCAGTTTCCTTTTCCTCACATTTGATGACAATAAAAAGTATATTAATATTGGAGTTATCCAATGAAATTCCTCAGTCCTCCTTGGCCCACCCCTCCCCTCTTCTTTGAAGTTATAAATAGCATATAGAACCATTTCTTATAGCAAATTACAAAATATTTCAGTCAAACTATTTCTGTTTGCTCTTTCCTTCATCTTAAGCAAAAATGTCAGATTTTATTCATGGCATAAGAACAGATTCAGAAATCTGCAATAGTTCAGTAACTTATTCTAGTCTTTATGATGCCTATGTGCCTATGATAAAGTTATGATGCCTATGTGGCATCATAAAGACTAGAATAGTCTTTATTAGTTGTCTCAGCTCCAAACAACTAAAACTGCAACAACGCCTCCTACAATTACAATATGCAGTGGTTGCAGAATATGGTGTAACACGATATGATAAAATATTTAATCACAGTGTGATCACCCTATTCTGATAGGTTCAATTCAGTATGTTACTCAGGATAACAGATATCTGGTTTTCTGAAACCGAAAACCCAGGATGTGCCACAGAGTTACTTACAAGTGAACTTCACTTATAAGAAAGTTCTTACAGTTTCTTATAAATGAAGGGCTTTCTGAAACCGGGCGGGCCCAGGAGTTAAGTAGAGAAAAGAATCTCTACTTCCTTGTTATTTGAGCTGCTAATTGGCTAAAGAGGAAAAGGTAATCGTTGTAAGCCAATCAGAGGCAGACTTGTGAAGATACAGTGAAGAATAATGAGTGAACAAACAAAGCAGGAGGAATCTGTGGTATGAAGGTACATTTTGTCCAAAACTATTTGTGTCTTTTAACTGAGAAGTTGATGTTGCAGAGGAAAAATCCTACAGAAGTTTTGGAAATGTAGATTTTTTTTCAGTCTACCACAAATGCAAAGCAGCAGTTACTGTGAAGTGAAAATTGTGTTATTTCTTTTGACAATTTTATTTAATTCTTTAGTCATTTAACATTAGTATTGTTCAGTTTTATAAAGTATGCAGGCCACGAACCAGTCAGATTGGTTTCCTGCTGACCACAGCAGTTGCAGCCGACAGAATAGTGGACAAATGTCTCAACACAAGAGCCAAAGCAAGGAGCCAGAGTTTGTTAACAGAGAACAACAGATAGTTTAGGTAAACAGTAAGATGGAAGAAGCCCTAAGGTCTCACATTGAATGTCACAAGCTCAGAGTACGTACAAGGCCTGACCATGTTTTTGGTATGGAAAATTGTTCCATTAGCATCCTGACTTTTAGAAACTGCCACATTTTGAACAAGAAGATGTTTATTATCTAAATAATTAACTGAAAGGAAGAGGTTGCATCCTGTCCATCCTGTGGTTGCACGACTTTGCATAAAACCTGTTCAACTGGTTTTGGCTCATAAGCCAAGAGAGTGACCATGTTGTGTGAAGGATCCTATATATTGTGAGAGCTTGCAGGTCCAAGTAAGAACTCATTGCAGGAACAGCTGCTGTGTTGTGGTTGCTGTGTGTTCTCCGTTTGCAAACGACAGTCCTCCTTCGCCCACCCCTTGGCCCACTCTTGCTATTTGCCAGAGTCTCAAGCCTAATCTGTTCCACACAGATTAGATTTTTTTCCCCCATATTATACTGTTAAAATTCTTAATAATAAGACAAAATTGTATTCCTTGAGTCACACTTTAACGCTCTCCAGGCAGGTGTTGCAGATTTGCAAAAGCTAAATGCTACTTATCTAATTACTCCACATCCATATTTTAAGAGCTTTTGTTACTCAGAAGTACAACAGAAGGGTTTAGATGTGCATTTGCAACAAACAGTTTCCCTCCAGCTCTCCACATGGCACTGCTGACTCACTTTCAACATGGCTGAGTCCTTGGTGTCACTGAAACAGATTTTCTAAGCGTCAATTTCATGAAAGTATCACTACCAATTTTCATTATTTTGAAATCAATACTACATAAGATGAATCATGAATGTGTATAGATATGACACATGTCAATTAGTAGATTTGATCTCCTCTGGGTTTTTCACCAGAGGCATCTCGATTTCAATGTTGTGGATTTGCAACGTGTGCCCAAACAGGTACCAATGGATGCTACATGCAGATATAAAATTGCAGATCCAGATTTTGTGGAAACTCCTGAAGCTTACGAGTCTGACTCCAGCTTTGATGAGGATGAGATTCTAGCAGATATAGCAAGAACTGATCCCAACCAGCTTGATGTTGAAATTCATCATGCACATGCAGACAGTGACAATCAACAAAGAGTTTTCTTAGAGACAGAGGAAACTCCCAGCAGCTGACATCGACTCTTCATTCCAAGGACCTGCGTTCTCAACTCCACCAGACGAAATCCCAAATCCAAGGTGGTATTTTGATCAGTTCGTGGACAAATCTGTGTTCGAACACATTTCTCACCAATCTAACCTGTATGCCGTTATAAAGAATGGCCCAGAACTGAAAACAACCCCTGCTGAAATGGAGCAATTCATTGGTTTACACATCTTGATGACCATAGTACGTATGCCATTGTACCGCATGTACTGGCAGACGGCAACACGCTATGACCCAATCACAACAGTCATGGGATGTAAGAGATTTGATCATCTGCAAACATACATCCATATGAATGACAATACCAACATGAAGCAAAAGTGTGAGCCTGGTTATGATCCACTGTTCAAGGTGTGACCAGTGCTTGAGAAAATCTGGTTGATGTCAGACTAGACATGCTGAGAAACAGCAGACTGTGCAAGGACAGCTATACACAAACGGCCTGCTTGAAGTGCAAACTACTTTTGTGCTTCACAAAGACCAAGAATTACTTCATGGACTACCACACAACAAGTGATTTACAAAAATGGCCTTCTCAAGAGGTTTTGAAATGTCGGTGGAGAAAAAGTTTGAGAAAAAGTTGTCTCTAATTTTGTGAGAGAATTTTTTTTCTTTCAAATTTTGTTTTGTTAATTTTTTTGTTTGTGACATTCAAATAAAGTTAACGTTCATATCAGATTCAGTCTTCAGTGTTAATTTACCACTCCGGGCCGTTGTTGCAAATCTGCAACATCCCAGAATTCATTGCATGTGAAAGTTTCTCTCAAAAAAAAGTCTGAATTGAATATTACTACCCCATATGATTATTTTCTCCAAATGTCAGATTTGTCCTGCAACTACAACTTAATTTGAGCCTGAGAGGGTTTTAAAAAACTCTTAGGAATCACAGTTTTGCCAATAATTACTCCCAAAAAAGAGAAAAAAAGGGAAAAACAAATCTGCATACTTGTGACAGAATAAAATATCTTCATTTCTTTATCACTCTGACACAAAATCACTTTCCCTTTTTACATTGTAATGCCCATTTCATGCTTTTTTTCTGCCAACCAGTTGAATGTGTCTACATAGAAACATGTAGCTTGCATTTCTTTTAAATCATGTGGACAATCAGGAATAAGAACAATCTTTGTTTCACTTTTGGTTTCCCCATTTTTTCACAATCAGTTTTTCAGCCAATGAGAGACTGCAGGAGGAGTTTGTTAGGACAAGAGACATTAAAAACAAGAATCTCTTTGGGAGGTTTCAGTCTAAAAGTAAATCTGTGACAACAAAGATTCACTAAGCCAGTAAAGCAGAAACAAGGTAAGAAACGTTTTTATGACTTTTGACACAAACATGAATGAAACTTGTGGTTCCAAGAGATTAAATATTTTATTCACATCAATGTGAAAAAATTTAACAGGTTAAATAAGGTGAACATTTGTAAATATCTTTTCTTCTGCATTGTACCTCTTTTTGTTTCACAATCCGTACTCTGATAATCATAAAAAAATTATTTTACAAAACCACCACAAGCATTTTATACCATTTTAAATCATAGATTACAAATTGGCCTATAATCTTTGCCACACCCATGACATGAAACGCTTCCTCTTGGCAAACTGAACATAAACCTGGTTGATTTAAACTGACATATACAGATGTTTACATTGTAATTGGTGGTGGATCTGTTTCAATCACAATATATTTTAAAAAATGGAAAAAAGTAAATAAAAATGATTTTGTAACTGATGCATTATAAACATTGAAATGTGCATATTCATGTAAAAAGAAAATGAAAGCAGATGGGACTGAGAATTATATATCTATAGATCTATAGATATATATACATGTATATACATTGTGATTCACAGATACTGGCTGCAGCGTTCTGCTTTCTGTGTGTGCTTGCTATTGGCTCAGATTCCTCTACATCCGGTACCAGTAACAATTGGGACAGGACATGTTGCTGTGGAGACAACGAGAGACGGTATCTGAAGCTTCAGGAAGGCTGCATCGACTGTGTCATCCAGAGAGCCAAAGCAACCAGTGAAACGTCAACATGGCTGCCAACAATCCACGGAAAGAACTGATATTCAAGATACAGAAAAAACTAGGTAGACTGAGTACAAAGCAGCTGCAGACAGTTCTGTCTTCGATTGATGATGGAGGTGACATAGATGTTCATGATTTAAGTGAACCAGAAATGTATGAGTTGATTGTTGACTTTGTTAGAAGTGGGAAACTGAAAGCGTTGGATGATGAAGGCGTGGCTCAGCTTCTCCTTTTGGATGAACAGATTAGTAACCTGCTCACCACTGATGTCTGTGCAACTGGAGATGACCCAAACACATTTTCAGGAACTGATGTGTCAGCCAG